AATTCTTGAAAATTTCAAATATTGCCGAAAAATACAAAGAAAGAATATGACAAAGATTAATAATTAGTGTTAATTCTGCCATATTGGGGGTAATTGTTGACATACGAAAAGTGTAGCACAAATTGAATAGTTCAAGGGATGAAGCCCAGTTAGAAAATCCAAGATGAAGGCTCAAATAAGACCATTAATGAATGCAGTGGAAGCCCACAAACAAGTTTCCATCATCGCCCAAGCTTGCAAGATGCCCAGGATTTGAACAAATGGAGTGCCTTACAGTCGCCCAAAGCGATGATCCCGTTCTCGCCTAAACCTTCGAATCGCCCAGGATCTTAGCAAACATAAGGTATTATGGTTATCCAGTACAGTAATTATTGAAGCAGTTATTGAGCAACCTATCACACTCCCACGATCCAAAAATCCCAGTTGTATGCAGTTAAACGACAAGAGTAATGACAACAGTTAGAGACTGCAAATCCATGACAAGTCAGCCATCATGAAGAAAGTTGGTAGCTATATAGCACTAAGCAGTTTTCAAGCAGTTTTTCACAAAGAAACTATCAATGGAATATCAAAAGGAAAGAAAGACACAGAGAAATGACTCCAAATCAAACACTCTCAACAGAGAATATGTAATTTCAATTTCTTAGTTTAACTTTAAAACACTTCTTTTTAGTACTCGTGTACTTGCGCCACTTGAAGGCATTCTGTTTATATCCAATTGTAATCTTCACCAATAAAGCACCCATTTTTTGAGACTTTGTCTCAAGAGGTCTGTTCCTTCCACAATCGTCTGAACCTTTTTTAATTGTTAGCGATAATCTGCGCGAAACAAAAATCCAGAGTCAACTACAATTGCTTAGCTTAATGCTTGCTGATGACTTCAAATGCTACCAACATGAAAAGAACGAGGAAACTATATGCCTTTACAACTACTCACAAAAAAATAACTAATGCGGAGCAGTTAGAAGAGAAAATCATAAATCAATAAAAAAAGAGAAGAATTAAGAAGGATTTACGAAAATGCATTTAATTTTCAACTCCAGTATTAGGTTTTCGCAAGCGAGTACAATCCGGAAGCGTTTTTCGATTTTGCACATCAAACTTTTGACATCAAATTCCACCGTTTAGGGGTCAGTTTTAACATTTTTCTATTTTGAGTTGGTTTAAGGATATTTTCTTCATTTTTACAACTTTTGACTTTATTCAAACTTGTCTA